AAATACCATGATGGACCCATTATTACCTATGCTCGATTATGATCATGGCCTAAACATGTATGGTGGTGCAAGTGGGTACGAATCCATTACCGCACCACCATGCATGGCTCAAGTTGGAGTCCTTAACAGTGGTGATCATGGTTTTTATGGGGAAGGGATCTTTGAAGGTATTAATGTTGAGATTCCTCCTTTAGAGAGTGTAAGCTGCATGGAGGAAAATGCAAAAACCCAGAATATACAGGAAAACAACACTGACAAGTACTCATATAGTAGTCCTGTGAATAGTCTTTACCACAAAAACTGCAACATCACTAGTAATAACAAGACAGATAACATAGCTGCTGATCAGATGGGGAACTTATGGCACGGATCAGAAGAGTTAAAAGTGGGGGAGTGGGACTTGGAAGAGCTGATGAAGGATGTTTCGGCCTTTCCATTCCTTGATTTCCAATGATCGTTGAATAAATGGTTTCCCAATACACATATAATTTTTCAAGTTTAGATCGGCCTCGCCACATATTCACCCTTCAAATACTGTTATCACTCAACCCTTGTATTCTATCCTTTTTCGTCAAGAAACTTAGCAATTTCGTGTATAGTTCCGATGAGGTACAGGAAGCATGGAATAAAGGTCAGGAGAGTTATACATTAATTAGTGACCCAACATTTCTTGTATGTAAACTTACGTACCTTATGATATTATTGCTATTTCGCCATTAATTACCTCTCGAGCACAGATACAATATTGTACCTGAGAAAGTATGTTAACTTTGTAGACAGGGACCAAGAGATTAGTTGGTGCGTACGTGCATGAACCTAGCTAGACCTAGTTTAATTTAACTAAATCGTGAGATGTACACAATTAAAAAGTCCAGGAGTGGAAGTTGTTGTTAGCTAGTGGGATATTAAGTAGGTTGGTGCCATAAATTGACAAATACATGGAGATTTTTTTATATATATATTATGTGCCTCCAGATGTTTTTTTTTTGTGGAGAAGATGATGGTTTCTTCTAATGAAGTTTAATCAATTAGATGAGATGTCCACTTAGAGCCATAATAATCACGTTAGCATATCAAGTCAGCTTGCTTTCATTCTACATATGACTATTTTACTGGTTAGTCACCCCATATAGGGTTTGCTTCCAAGAGTAATTATAACTCTACCTTTCCCATAGCCAATGATGTCTAAGGATAAAGCAATGAGAGGATCGCTCCTATATTTTTCTGGAGTCAAAAGAATAAAAAAGACATGGTGACGCAAAACCTAGCTCGCGCGAGAGACTTGAATATAAAGCAAAGGTAGCAGCAGTTAGATGAAGAATTTATATATATAGTCCTATACACACACGTATACTAAGATCAAGAGATCAATCGCTCCATTTCATGTTGAATGCCGACATTTATATAAAGAGATCAGCTCTTCTTCTCCCTCATTTATCTCTTAGAGTTAATATATATACACTTAAAATTGCAGAACTAACCTGTGCATGAATTTTAATGCTGTCATTTGATCTGGGAATTGGAAGGCTCTGTTGGCTGCAAATGACGACTTTTTAGCCCACTGGGCAAATGGCTGTTTATTTTTCTTGTCAATGAGGTCAGGTTTTTTTTTTCCCCCTGATCCACCATGATTATAGTTAGCCTCCGACACCCAACTTTTCAATGGATTAATGGCGTTTGTCGTGTGCATGTGGCTCTGGTATATATACATACATTTATATGTATATACTTGCAAATTAAACTGTTGTGTTCTTGTGATATATATGGCATGTTTCTCATCATGAAATAAATCCGACTCGAGAAAATAAAATAAAACCTCCAGTGTTCCATGAAGAGAATGAAAGGCGCAAAGAGAACAGAATTCTTCCCTTTTATGTGGCAAGGGAGGGAGATGAAAGGCAACCATGGAAAGGAATGGGCTTTACGGTGCTCTATGGTGTTTAATGTAATAATAATTATTTTTAAAAAATAAATTTTAAAAATGTATTAAAATAATAATTTTTATTTAAAAAAAAATAGTTTTAATACCAGTGTATTAAAATAATTTATAAAAATTTAAAAAATAAATTTAAAATAAAAAATAAAAATATTATAAGTTTTTTAAAAATATTTTTAAAATAAAAAATATTATAATTGTTTAAAAAACATTTTTAAAATAAAAAAATAAAAGAAACTTTTAATTTAAAGTTGTAACAGGCAAATTCACGGATCGAAAAAGTACTAGACGCAATCAATTAACCAAGAGGAGTTCGATTTTGGATGGGGGTAGGACATGCAATGCTGACTGGGCTAACTCTCTGTTAGCTCATAATAATTTTGCTAACGTGCTAAAACTAAAGTAAAAGGGTATTAAGGAGAATAACATTAGTTATTTTTTAAATTTTATTTTTTATATTACCACGCTAAAATAATCTTAAAATATCAAAAAATAAAAGAGAAAAGGGAAAACACTGTTCCAAAACTGCCCCTAAACTGGGAGGTGACGTGGTGTGGTGTCAGTTCAAAAAATATTAAGAAAAAACAGACCGTCGCCTGAGAGATTCGAACTCTCGCGGGGAAACCCCATGTACTTAGCAGGCACACGCCTTAACCACTCGGCCAAAGCGTCGGGGGTACCGAGGTTCTTTCATCCTAGATATATAATTAATGTAATCTAGCGCCCCAAAATCAGTAGAAACGAAGCAATTTAGTTTAAATAAAATGCGAGGAAAATACATAGTGCGTCTGTGCTTCTACAATGCTCAAGTCTGACCCGTTAAATATCTTGTTGTTACATATGACATGGGCCTTCGCATTCTGCTTTCCTGTTCATCCTCTTCGACGAAAGCGAAAAACTTGTTTTATCAAATAAAAAATTAGCTTAGCGATTGATTCCCAGTGTACTGAGTACAAATTGTTTGTAATATCTTTTTCAACAACAAGCTTTTTACTTGATGATGTAAAAGGTCAGTGCTTGTTCGCTAAACCCAGACAAATGAGGAGTGTATACCTTGTATTGCTTGAACAAAAGAGAAAAGGAAAAGGGTGTTTAGTGCTGTTTAGATTAGTGCCAAAGTGCATGATTATGATTTTCCTCTTCTTTTGAAGACAACTCCCAATTTCCAATTAATGGTTTTGTTTTTGCATGCATAAAGGTGAGGGAAAGCATCTTCTCCGCGTGCAAATCATAAGCAAACGAAAGGGAAGCAAGAAGAGAACGTTCTGATTCCTTCACGCCATGTTTCTTTTGTAAAACCGTTCTGATACTGCGTATCAGAAACACCACGCACAAACAGGCAGAGGCCTGGCTGCTTTATGATTCTGTCTTTACACATGATTTCTACATTGAAATGATAAAAAGAAAAAGAAAAAAAATGTTGGGTCTTGTGGTTAACATTATCCAGTAGCATTAGGTCCGGTTATCCAACTAAATCCAATAATAACTTTTTAAGTTTTTTTTATTATCAAAACTAATGCTATTATATTTGTTTTTGCAACAAGACTTAATATTATTTTATATTTGGTTTGATTGTTAGATTCAAATTACTTAATATATTTTTATGTTTTTCCAAAAAATTATTATTAATTTATCATAGAACATAATTTAAGTTAAATTAATTAAGAAAAAAACATCTGCTAAAAAAATCAGAATTTTATGAAACACATCCTCTTTTGTCTGTTCTCTCACTTATGCTAGAAAAAATTTAGGCTAGAAAAAATGCTCAGTCTTCTCGATATATTTTTACCATGTTTGGTGCCTTTTTTTTTACTCTAGAAGTTCTAGTAGTCAACCACTTGCTTGATAAAATGTCTAATACTTTAGCTTCTGATTATATCTATTAAAAATATTTGAAAAATCATCACTACTTCATCACTATTTTGCTTCTAAGACACAGGAATGCAATTCACTCTTTTATTTTTGGGTGAAGAAGTTAAGATTAAAGTGAAATTTTATTAGAAAAAAGATTGTAAGGTGACTTGCAAAATGTTCTACGAATAAAAAGAAAAAGAAAAAAAGTGTTGGGTCTCGTGGCTAACATTACCAAATAGCACTAAGTCCGTTCGGTTATCTAACTAAATCCAATAACTTTTAAGTTTTTTTATTATCAAAGCCAATGTTATTGTATTTGTTTTTGTAACAAGACATAATACTATTTTGTATCTGATTTGATTGTTAGATTTAAGCCACTTAATATATTTTTATGTTTTTTTTAAAAAATTATTATTAATTTATCATAGAATATAATTTAAGTTAAATTAATTAAGATAAAAAAAATTCTGCTAAAAAAAATCAGAATTTTATGTAACACATCCTCTTTTGTCTGTTCTCTCACTGCCTGCTGCTGCGCTAGATCCAGCTCGCCTTATTTACAATCTTTGCACGAGTATTTCTGTGGCCACCATAACCCCAGGCCTCCTCTCGTCTTTTCATCTCCCTGGATTCTCTGGCCCCTGTTTTTCCAAGCTTCTTGGCCATTCAATGCCTTCCAAGTCAAGGTGGAAATATTGGTTATAAGCCACTATGCTGACCTGAAGCCTTCTCAACCAATTATAGATAACCACGTGTACCACACAGTTACTTCACTGTACACAATCACCAAAAAGGCTACGTTCCTTCAGAAACCCAATCCACTCACAATCTACCACGTTAACAAAGTGCCCTCAATTCCACCTGCGCATGCTAGCAACGAGCCTTGCCACAAATACTGACAACATGGGCCGGTGAATCGGAAGATCTTGGACGGACACTTCAACTCCAGGGCGAAACTAACGAAGCTCACCCCACTGACAAAAAGAAGAAAGAAAGAAAAGCCCGTATATTCCATCCATCGTATCCACCGTTCGATCAAAAACCAACAGCTCAGATCCTCCCCTCCTTACTTCCCATATAAATCAACGCCAATCAATCACCTCTCAAAACTTCCCTTTCCTTCCCTTCCCTTCAAAACCACTGTGCAGCCCCTTCCCTTCCCTTCAAAACCACTGTGCAGTGTACAGAACAGAAGTGAAGACTGAAACCCCTCCTCTCGAACGCCATACCCCAAAATGGCGTCGTTTGCTCTGACATCATCTTCTCTTTCCTTCAACAAGTCCCTCCCTTGTCTCAAACCCCGCTCTCTCTCACACCTGAGATCCACCGCACCACATCCCCTCCCTTTCCGTCCAAATCTCCCAAAACTCTCTGCTGTCTCTCCCTTACTCCCAAGATTCTCCAAATCTAAAATCACCACAACCACCAGGAAAATCTCTAACTTCACAGTAAAAGCATCAGCCTCTGCAGCATCACCATCACCCGCACCAACATCAAGTACACCTGCCTCACCGCCATGGCAAGGAGCAGCAATGAAACCTTTACTAGCATCCATCGCGACAGGTGTCATTCTCTGGTTCGTTCCTGTTCCCGCGGGAGTTACGAAACCAGCATGGCAACTGCTCGCAATTTTTCTTGCTACAATAGTCGGAATCATCACGCAACCTTTACCGCTCGGCGCTGTAGCTTTGATGGGTTTAGGCGCTTCAGTTCTAACAAAAACCCTCACTTTCTCCGCAGCGTTTTCCGCATTCGGTGATCCAATCCCTTGGTTAATTGCACTCGCTTTCTTCTTCGCGCGTGGATTTATCAAAACCGGACTTGGTAACCGAATTGCGTATCAATTTGTGTCTCTGTTTGGATCTTCTTCGTTAGGGTTAGGTTACAGTCTTGTTTTTAGTGAAGCTTTACTAGCGCCGGCGATTCCTTCTGTTTCTGCACGAGCAGGAGGAATATTTTTGCCGTTAGTGAAGTCACTCTGTGTTGCTTGTGGTAGTAATGCGGGTGATGGGACGGAGCATAAGCTTGGTTCGTGGTTAATGTTAACTTGTTTCCAAACATCAGTGATTTCGTCTTCCATGTTTTTGACAGCTATGGCTGCGAATCCTCTGAGTGCTACTTTGACATTAAATACGATTAAACAAACAATTGGGTGGACGGATTGGGCCAAGGCTGCGATTGTGCCTGGATTGGTTTCGTTGATTGTTGTTCCGTTGATTTTGTATTTGATTTATCCGCCAACTGTCAAGACTAGTCCTGATGCACCTAAATTGGCTAGGGAGAAGTTGGAGAAGATGGGACCCATGTCTACTAATGAAATTGTTATGGCTGGCACTCTGTTTCTCACGGTATAGTTTGCGTTTCTGTTTTATATCTGTCTTTTGCTTATTGCATCCTGCTTAATTTGGTGCAATGGTGTCTACTGCATGCTTACGCAAATTTAATTTGCTGATGCTGATGCACCCTTTACTCTGTTTATCGGTTTCGATAGGAATAGCTGGTTGTATTTTGTTTAGGTATAACCATCAGCTGTTAGTTAGCGATAATTCTTCTTTTCTGTCATTTATTGCTAGCTGGGTGGTGTTTTTTGGACATTTTGGAGAATTGTTTAAGGTACATTACATGGCATTTGGGTCATTGGAAAATTTTGCTTGTATGCTTGAATGTTTAGTTGAATGATGTTTTGTTAGAGACTGGAGAATTGTTTAGCTATATTTGGTCTTTGCATTATTGATGATGAATTCTTATGCAGCATTAGTCTAGCCCTGCTAATTTACTTCTTGAAAAGTTATTTTTGTGTCTTGGAAGGAAATCTGTTCATAGCTGCAGAAGTAATAAATCAATTCTGGCTTGGGTTCTCATATATGCAAAGGGTTTCGAAGATAACAGATGGTTGGGGATTTTAGATGTGTTTATTGTGAAGGAGGAGGGAATGTCTGTGATCTAGAGTCATAAATCTGCGCAACTTGGCAGCCAATTCATGGCCCAGGGAGATTTTCTTAGCAGTAGCTTGATCTTTTCTTAGAACTTAGGTGATTTTTCCACGATTGAGTTTCTCATAGAGGCATATTTGCATTTTTTTGAGTATGGAATTTGAAATTAAGAGTTTAGCTGGGTTGCTATCTTTGAAAATGAGATTACAGTGGCTGGCAACTGCACCTTGCTTCTCACAGTATAATTTTCCTTTTGTGTTCAAATCTGCTTTAATTTTGTTTTTAAATCTGCCATCTTAATTTTATTTTCTGTTTGGAACAAATATGATAATTAGTTTAGGCTCTGCTTGATAATGTTAAATGGAATAGGCTCTGCTTCTAATGGTGTTATGTGTGAGCTGATTTTCCACTGTAAGCATAATGCAACTTCTGTTGATTTGAAGGCATAGTTCAATTTGTTTCTTGGTTTAAATGAATGTAGTGATGCTACTAGTTCTGTGGCCGTTGTATAGGTAGAAACTAGTATGTCAGCAGTAAGCATTCTCTGCTTCTTGCAAAGAGTGTTAGCTAAGTGGTATTTTATCAGTCATTTTGGAGAATATATTAATTATGCATTGGCATGATAATAGTCATTAAGTGTCCGTCCATAATGGGTCTTTTGTGCTCGTGCACTTTGAGAGGATCCTTCCACACAGCTAAACTTGTGATGACCTTTGGCAGTGGTTCATGGAATATGGTCAAGGTATAGAGGAATGATTTGGATCTACTGAATGTTCTGGTACGTTAATTTTCTTTGTCAGTGTTAGGACAATAGTGTCTTTTTAAGGGCTGGAGAAGTTTTGTGCTTCATGGAGTTCTTATGTAGAATAGTAAGTTTAATCAAGAGGAACTCTGTTCTTGGACACCGAAGTAGCAACAGTTTAGGCACCAGGCTCTTTTGTAAGGTATTGTGGATGTTACATGTGTTTTCAGAGATGAGCATGGGGGAAGTTAATGTCGTTAGGAACTTTTAAATTTATCAACTTTGCAGCTAATTCAAGGTTTAGGGGAATTCTCTTGGTGCTTTCTCATGACCTCACTCAAGCTTCTATTGAAGGAGTGTTTGCATTATTTTGAGGTTGGAATCTTTGGTGCAAGATAAATTTACTTGACTTGTCAGCCAACATCCCATCAAGCTTCTTTGAAAGGAATATCATCCTGGCAGACTTTATTCTCCATGTATCAATACTCTTTGGTGGTAGTTGAACAGTTGGTTTTCACAATAATTCCAATTGTTGAAGAAAGCTCCTATATTTGGTCAGAGTTGGAAACAATAGATTTCCAGGACATTTGGGGAGTAGTTAGAGTAACTAGGTTGGGACCTTGGATTTCATTTGTTTCTTATGTTGTAAATGTGCTCTCATTACTGATATTAGATGGAAATTTGAAGATTTTCGGACCATTATTTGTTTGTTTGTTTTTTTCTCTCGGGGCCTGTGTTGATTATATGTTTTGGACATATGGCTTTTCAAAGACGGAGTCCATTTGGCTGATTTGAGAGATTTGTGATGTCGTATAGTCAATTGGATTATTAGCGTGCCATTAGTTGATTTATATACAACATATATACTGTTGTCTGTTGCATGATCATCAGATCATGGTTGATGCCAAGCTAGTACTTTGCTTTCAAAAGTAATACCTGTAAATTTGTTGCCTGGGTGTTTTCATTCAAATGTGATGCATTCTCACAACAAAACTATGGCAGCTGAGCGAGCACGAAATCATGTGAAATACATTTTTTCCCTTTTTCTTTATGCTAACCACTTCTTTGAATAATATACTACAGAGCAGCTGTTTTTTGGGTACCATGTTCATGATTTAGTGGATGTGTTTTATGTGTTTGTGTTGTCATGAATTCTACGTACTGCTTTGCATGTTTATTGATACTGTGCTCTGTCTCCAATAGTGAATGATTTCTTTATTTCTTCTCAATTTAGGTGGGCCTCTGGATTTTTGGTGGGATGCTGAATGTGGATGCTGTTACTGCCGCTATTCTTGGATTGTCCATCCTTCTTGTCACTGGTGTAGTGACATGGAAGGAGTGCTTAGCTGAAGCAGTTGCCTGGGATACCTTGACATGGTTTGCTGCCCTCATTGCCATGGCTGGGTATCTTAACAAATATGGTCTCATCTCCTGGTTCAGCCAAACTGTAGTTAAGGTTTGTGTTTCTCTCTTACTGGTTTCTCATTGTGCATCGTTGTTTCCAATTATCAGTGAGTGCTTATATTTATTATATACTTCAGTGGCCCTCTTGCATGTTGACATGCACAGGAGGAAAAAAAAAGGATTTTAAGGAACAAACTTCTCAGCAAGATGAATGCAAACGTGAACTTGTGAATTTCAACATAGCATTAGAATTAAGTATGGACCATGGAGTACTTGCTGTTAACTATTTGCATTCTTTACAGTTTGTTGGTGGACTCGGTTTATCGTGGCAGCTATCTTTTGGGATTTTGGTTCTTCTCTACTTCTACTCCCACTACTTCTTTGCAAGTGGAGCAGCTCACATCGGTGCGATGTTTACAGCATTCCTGTCTGTTGCCAGTGCTCTAGGCACTCCTCCATATTTTGGAGCCATGGTGCTCGCCTTCTTTTCCAACCTCATGGGCGGCCTTACACACTATGGAATCGGATCTGCACCTGTTTTCTATGGTGCCAACTATGTACCTCTGGCCAAATGGTGGGGCTATGGGTTCATCATATCTGTTGTCAACATAATTATCTGGGTTGGGGTTGGAGGGGTTTGGTGGAAGTTCATTGGCTTGTGGTGAGGGGTGATCATGGAAATCCGATGACCCAAGATTTAGCAATATCCCCGATTCTTATTCACCATCAGATGATATTTTCACATCTTGATTTATTGTCTGATGAGAGAGGTTGTTGATTTTTGTTTCTAATTCTTTTCCTGGGAAATAATCTTTCGGTGGCCTTGGTAGAGACCTCGGTCAGAAAGGTGGTATACGCATGGTCTTATTAGATCAGAAATTAGAACTTGTACCAGGAATTTTTTCACGGCGTAGCAACTGCCTGCAAATAATTACATAGAAAAATCTGACGCGTGAAGGTCTTTTTTCTGTCGCTATAGTTTCTTGGTGGCATGAGGACATATCCTTTTTCTTGGAAATTTACCCTCTTTTATATTTCGTCTAGTGGCTGGAAATTTACATTAAGATTCGTGATTTCGGCGGAGGTGTTAAATCCATTACAACGTTGTTCCATGAAGAGGTATTGGTTTTTTCATAATTGCATTCCATTGATATCCTGACTTGGACAGATTCAGATGTATTTTGCTAATATATCGGGGTTTCCCGTACGATGTTTAAACCGTCGATTGCTCAGCATGTCTGGTTGCCGACCGTTTTTCCATCACCAGATCTAAGTATCATGTTCCCATTCGCTGATTCCAGGCGAGCTGAGATTCTCCTTTCTCGGTGGCACAGGTTTCATCCCATGTGGATCGAAGCCTTTGGGCCGGCCTATAAGCAACTCAGACGTCATGAAGCAGCTGATTTGATGCCCCTAAGCAAAGGGCATATTCTTTTAGGCGTGAATCTCTTTTATATGTGTGTTTACTTGGCCATGGAAACTCCAATCTACTAAAATTAAAAGGAAAAGAAAAGGGGAAAAAAAACAATCTATGACCCATTGTTTTTTCTTGAGATAAGAGGAGTATACCTTAGATCCCCACTAGCCAATCACAATATAAAGGTGAAACAGTGAGGGTATCTTCTTTATTAGCCACTTGACTTCGGTTATAATGCTGGATTAGTTTTCCAGCCTCATAAAAAAAATATGCGCACATCGAGGTGGTGGTAGGTTATTATTTTGAAGTAGATGAAATAAAGACAAGATATAATAGAATACTTAGACAAATTTGTGTGATATTGGTAAGTATTGGTATGTCTAAGTCCGATTTCATTGAATAATTCGTAAAATTGGTGGAGGTTAATGATTTGTTAATGCTTCTCTAGTAATTTATGTGACCATCTCTATAAACGTTATAGAAAAAAAAATATACGTGTACTTCATGCATATAATAAACTCAATAATAGAAATATTCCATAAATTCAATCAAAGAATTACAAGTGTGGGCATAATAACCATTATTATATTATATTGTTAAACTGTTTAATTTAAAATTTTAACGGTTTAATTCAAAATTTAAATCATGAGATCAAAACAACATTATAAAAAATAAATTAAAAAATTTAATTTTTATTAGACTTGATATTAAAAAAAAACTCTAATAAATTATAGTTTGTGGAGTAATGAAAAATGAAATTAATTTTGTTTTAATATGTTAATGTTAATATGTTCAATCTAATGTAGCTCAACTAACATCATTTCTTACTCTAGTAATTAAGGATTATAACTCTTCGTTTGCTAATAATTCCAACCTAACAAACCCAAGTAGTAGACAAGAGAAGTTGGAAAAAAAAATTTGCATGATTACTCTAATTTGATTTCAGGGAAGGAAATTGTGCCTCCAATTAGTAAAGGTATTTGGTTTGGTGGCCAAGGTTCATCGGATCATATCCCCCTTCACTCAAATTTATCAACGCAAACAAAAATTACAGAAAACCGTACAGATGTTATAAAACAGTGAATCGTTTTTTTTTGTGTGCATTTGATAGTATGTTTCGTTTATTTTTTAAAATATTTTTTTATTTAAAAACATAAAAAAATTAAATACTTTTAAAAAAATTTAAAATTTTATAGAACGCGGTGCCCGACCTTCATCTAAAAGAGAATCTGATTTTCCACGGCACTCACGTCGCTTGGACATTTGGTAGCCATTCCTATGCATGCAGTGGAGACTTTAATGCAAAGCTAAAATTTCTTGTTCTTGAATCTGATACCGAGTCTGACTCTTGTTCTCTCGTCTGTTCCACTTCAAAACCTGCTGCTTTTCATTCAATGGAGGGCCCTCTCCTAGTATGTGACTACTACTAATAATAATTGGGCTCTTTGGTGACCACGAAAAGCTCTCTCTCTCTCAAGTCATGCACTTGGTTTTGAGGCTGAGGTTGAAACGTTTGCTTTTCTAGTTCCTAGTGTCAGTGATAACGAAAGACAGTGCTGTTTTTGTTCTAGAGCTTAAGGCTGGTGAGTCTTTTATTTTCATAGTTTTCTGAGGTTTCCATGTGGGAACATCACATGGGACCAGTGCCAGATTATTCTATGTTCGAAAATTCTTCATCATAGTGAGATACGAAGACCCTCTTCCAGGACTTGACTTTGCGTTAGAATTTAAGAGCTCCGAGTTAGGTTCTGGAAAATGCAATCCATCACTTTGGCCTAGAGGGTCTCCATTCTTTCTGAATTTCTTGCTGAGATATTGAGTTTTCGCTGCCTTCTTTTATTTTAAGCTTTGAATTCGTGGATGGTTTGGTTTTTATGGTGAGGAGGTTTCAAACTCAAATGTCTTCAAGTAACACATGTATGATGTCTGATGTATCCATATTTCTTTGCCTACCTAGGAAAGCTCAGGGACGTTTCTTTCCCTTTGACTATGAGATTGAAGCATGATTTTGATGGTTTGATTATGAGGTTTCCATGCTCGTTAAAGTCTGACCTAGAGGAAACTTCATGGCTTCTAAGGCTTCCAGGCTATACAGTTCGTATGAGCGAAGTGGAAAATTCAATTTTGATTTTGATATTTGATACCTGATTTGGAAGAATATAAATTAAATCCAAATTTCAAAGTTGCACTTGTTTCTTTCAGTGGTTGTTTTTTTTTCATTTCTACACTGTTCTGTTCTTAATTGTCCACTGCAGTCCAGTTGTCTGCTTTAATTTCCTAGTGAATCCTTGCTTCCACTTGGCACTACTGAATATGGTGGGTTGATTTAATGTTATAGGCTGTCATTTGTCAAGCAATTAATCAACATGAACTAAATGATAGACTCTGCAGGTTTGGGGCTCAATTTGCGAGATATACTTCCTCATGACAACACTTCTTTAATCTGCTTCCTGTGTACAGATTCTAAGTTGTAACCCACAGTTTAGCAACTTCTTCTGAAAGGCAATTTAGTGATCTGAGTTTCCCATCGATGGCTGATGAAGATGATTCATATCCTCCGATGGACGCGAAGAGAACTCCTATTTGCATTTTCTTTAAAGATGTCAGGTATATATTGTTGTTTCAGTTTAAAAAAATTGAAACCAAAACTATCCTTAATATGTACTATTTCAGTGATGCCATTATGAAACCAAAACAATCTTTAATCAAAGAGTTGGCGTGTAAATGCTTTGACAAAAAAATTTGTATTTTCCACCGTTTTGCTGGTGCAGTCGAGTTGGCTCATTTGTGCTTCCTTGCAAAATACCATCTTCATTCAGCAGGCTGCCCCTTTTCTTTTTCCTTCAAAAATCATTAAATGGATATTCTAGCAAATGCTCGATTCGGAGTCCTTGATAAAATCAATGCTTACTTTTTTCATTTTCCTTCGCATCATTGGAATTTTAAGTTGTCATATGACCCTTTACCTCCTTCTCTTAAGAGATTTTTAAATAATTTATATTATTCTTCTATATTATGGGCAGATATGTTCTTAAATTGGATGAACTTGGGTTAGAAATAGCACAAATAGCATTTCCTGCGGCTTTGGCTTTGACAGCCGACCCAATAGCCTCTCTGGTTGACACAGCATTTATCGGCCAAATAGGTATTCCTTCTGATCATGCAAGTGTCTTTTTTTTTTTTTCTAATCTGTTTTCAAATTGAAGTGATTCTTTCTGGAGTGTGCTATATAGACAATATGAATAAATTTGATAGCTTATCCGTTGCCTATTAAATATTTGCATGTCTTGGCTGCATGGCATGCCTCCATATTCTTGGACATGTAACAAGCTCAAGCCATCGCTTTTTTCCATGTGGAATGGTAAAGTAGCTTTTGATAAAAATGTGATTCATACTTGAAAATGCAAAGTGTTATATTGGCTGATTTTATTGTAACACCCTACTTCACTAGCAAGATATTATCCGCTTTGACCCATAGGGCCTCATGGATTTGTTCTTGTCAGCTACGTATGACTCAAAAATAAATTTTACTAGTTAAGGTGAGCATGCTCATATAAGACCCTCGCTTAGGTTCTCACCCACCGATATGGGATATTACAATTATTATCATATACCAAATCAGTGAGTGAGGGATTGATAGCTAGCCTTATTAAGAGTGCTAGTTGTTAACTTGTCATACATGTTTTGAGGCGTCAGGCTTAGATATGGGCTCGCGTCATTAGGAACAAAACTGTGAGGGCCGTAAGGCCCAAAGCGAACAATATATAGCAAGTTAGGTTGGGCTATTACATTTGGTATCAGAGCCAACCTCATTAGCTGTCTAGTTGTGTTGACGGGGTCGTCGGGCTCCTTAAAAGGGGTGGATTGTCATATCTCACATTGACGAGTGAGGGATTGGTAGCTAGCCTTATTAAAAGTGTTGGTTGCTAATTTGTCATACACGTTTTGGGGCGTTAGGCTCAAATGTGGGCTTACGTCATCAGAAACAAAACCGTGAGGACCGTAAGGCCCTAAGCAGACAATATATGGCAAATACAATATATGGCAAGTGGGGCCAGACCGTTACATTTATGAATGTAAACACTCAAATATGGGCTCACGTCATCAGGAACAAAACCGTGAGGACCGTAAGGCCCCAAGCAGACAATATATGGCAAGTGGAGCCAGACCGTTACATTTATGAATGTAAACAAGTTTGCATGTTTTTGGTTGTAAAATCAGATTATGTTCTCTCTACCTATTCTTTCATCTTGAGAAAGTTTATATTTTGACTTTGTTTTTTATCTTTTGGATGATAGCACTTCCCCCTTGTTTCTCATAATCATTCAGGTCCAGTAGAACTTGCTGCTGTTGGAGTTTCTATTGCTCTATTTAATCAAGTATCAAGAATTGCAATATTCCCTCTTGTCAGTGTCACAACTTCTTTTGTTGCGGAAGAAGATGCTATAGGAAGAGTCAGCCCTGAAGAAGAAGATAGTGAATCCTTGGAAACAGGTTCTACTATGAACAGTGAGAACAAAGAGTTGATACCGCAAAATTGTACTGTATCCCATGTCCTGCTCTTTTCAGTTTGTGCTTATTAAAGACCAAACATTTGAGTTTATACAAGTTCTCAATATTTTTTTGTTTCAACATATTCTATCAGATTCTGCAGAAGGTCCATACAAGGCAAAATCACCTGTTAGCAGCTTTGGAATTGATAAGATTGAGAATGAGAGAAGGTGCATCCCATCAGCCTCATCTGCATTGGTTATTGGGGCAATTCTAGGCCTTATCCAAGCTATATTCCTCGTATCTGGAGCAAAACAACTATTAAACTTCATGGGAGTTGGTTCTGTAAGCACTTCTGCTGTGCAAGCATGAGATCTCAGCACTCTCCACTAACATATTTCTTGTCAAATCGGTCTTCTTCTTCTAAATGTCAGTATCTATTACTTTGAGCAGATCAATAACAGAATTATTTTTTTGCCTTTACAGGATTCCCCTATGCTGGGCCCTGCACAACAGTACCTGACTTTAAGATCGCTTGGTGCTCCTGCAGTTCTCCTTTCCTTGGCCATGCAAGGGGTTTTCCGTGGATTCAAGGACACAAAAACTCCTTTATATGCCACTGGTACACCTAATGGAATTTAATTAGTTTCAGTTATCATGTGATTTTTATTTTTTTGACATGAGATAAGTCAGATTTTGTTTTTTAATTTGTTTATATAACCTCATTCTAATACCTATTTTTATCTAATCCAATTTTATAGTGGCTGGAGATGTAACAAACATCATGTTAGACCCTATATTTATGTTTGTTTTTGGCCTGGGTGTCAGGGGTGCAGCCATCGCCCACGTATTATCCCAGTAAGTTAAATTTACTCTCCAAGCAAAATACAGAAATCTTAGAGTAACTTTATCTTGTAGCTTCCAACTTATCTTTATATATGTATGGTGATTACAGATACCTGATTTCAGTTATACTCTTGTGGAGATTGATGAAACAAGTTGATCTCTTACCTCCTAGTATCAAACACCTGCGGCTGGGTCAATTTCTTAGAAATGGTGAGTAGCATGTGACTGTTATACTTATAGATTAAACAGATAGAAAGTAATTCATTCAACTCATTTCTAACATGTATACCTTTGACATAATCTGTGGCCCAGAGTTTCTTTACTATGTGCATCAAAATACAAATATCACGAATTTGGTTTGTGTTTTAATCAAAATGTTTTTGACATCTTTTGTATTTTGTACTCGACCTCCAGGACTTTTATTATTGATGAGGGTAGTAGCTGTGACATTCTGTGTTACTCTTTCTGCATCATTAGCTGCGCGACAAGGATCAACATCAATGGCAGCATTTCAGGTCTGCTTGCAGGTTTGGTTGGCCACATCTCTTCTTGCTGATGGATTGGCTGTTGCTGGGCAGGTTAGAAAATGGTTTTGCTTCTTCATTGACTTCAACTACTAGTGTGATAATATTCACTCTTGTCTTCTCAGAGATGTTCTGTGGAACAGAACTCACTTGGTTTTTCTCTAAGAAAGAGAAAAACACAGCAGCTAACACTTTCACTTTATTATTTTCATATGCTTTTTTATTTATAATTTTGAATGTTTAATGGCTATATATAGCCTTACAAGTCCTACTTAGACTAAAACTTTTATCCTTATCTAACTAAGATGAAAACTAATCAACTAGCTAACTCCTAACAATGATAAAATTCTAATAGATAATAATTTTAATATTGTAGAGTTTTAACAAAATTAGAACTCTTGCAAACTCTAAATCCTTTTAACCTAAATCCTAGTTGATATTGAACTCCAACATGTTCTACTATTTTCTTGGACACTAATTGCTTGCTAACATGCCAATGCCATAAGAACCTGCAAAAGGGACATTTAGTAAAATCACTGTAGTTTAGTTTGCTTTATAAAAAATTCGAGATTTTTAGAGTGAATGAAGAGCAGAGACAATGTGCACAGATTTTGTATCTGCAGTGTTCCAAAATCTCCCAAATGCATTCAATTTGCTTTCTCACAGCATTTGCATACTGCCTAGTCCCTAACTTTCATTCAGTATTTCAAACGAGATCGAAATCAACTACATGATCCTTCCCCAAAAAGTTGCATTTTATGTTGACCCCAAAATGTTTCTTTTTGGGTTTATTTACAATTGTTAGGCTATTTGTGTCTTTAGCTGCGAAATAGCATTAGAAATTATTGCTGCCATAGTTTATGGTACATTCTTTATTTTATTTTTTCCATCTTTTAATCCCAGGCAATACTTGCAAGTGCATTTGCCAGAAAGGACTATGAAAAGGCAACAGCTACTGCAACTCGAGTATTGCAGGTGCGGCATAAATGAAATGACTTCTTAAGTATTTATGATAGTCAACTTTTCTCTAAATCTGTGATGGATTTTGCCTGCAGTTGGGATTACTTTTGGGTTTGATGCTTGCTGCTGTCCTTGGACTTGGATTGAGATTTGGAGCAAGATTATTCACAAGTGATGCTGATGTCCTCCACATGATTAGTATAGGCATTCCGGTATCTCCATTTTCTGCAACAAAAAAGAGAAAATTACTACTTCCACTCTGCTCAACCCCAGATAATCCTGGAGTTAGTTAATAAATTTTCCTCCATATCAGTTTGTTGCAGGTACTCAACCCATCAATGCCTTGGCATTTGTTTTTGATGGTGTCAACTTTGGAGCATCTGATTTCGCATACTCTGCCTACTCTATGGAAAGTCTCTGTTCTCTTATGTACAATTAAGGTTTACTTGGGGTTCTTTTAATCAACTATGAAATCACTTGCTCTCTTCATGAGATTTTTTTGGAAGGAAGAACTGGGTCATTGGGTCGTGCTTTCTCTTGTTCCCTATGCTGGACTAATCGGGTGGAAACAATCCATCTGACTTCTATACGTTAGGAGAATATTATTATTCTAAAATGTAATTAAAAGTGGAAAAACAAAAATGAAGGGGGAGCACGCACAGAAATCTAACAAAAGCATAAAACTTCTGGTTGCCACTGTTAGCATTACTTTCTTGGCTGAGAAATTAGCATTGACATGTTCTTATCCAGGTAATGGTGGCCATTGTTAGCATCCTATGTTTGTTTCTCCTCTCCTCTAGTCACAAGTTCATTGGAATCTGGGTTGCTCTGACAATATACATGAGTCTTCGTGCATTAGCTGGCTTTTGGAGGTAATTACTATTAATTTATTACCAACATTTTCCTGCCGTTTTTCCTGTGCGATTCTATTTGTGTAAGTTGAAAGGCCGAAGTTAAAATCATTATCAACTCTTGAAAACAGAGTTTTAAGAAACAGAGTTAACAACTCCTGATAACATTCTAATCTTTGAGCTTCTGAATTTGCAGGATAGGAACAGGAACAGGACCCTGGAACTTCCTCAGGAATTTGTAGCAGCTTGTCTATTCTTTGAACTAGTAGCGTTGCAGCCATGTTAAGAACCTGTCAAACTGTGATTCTGTCAGGTTATTTTCTTTGTGATTTGTTTTTTAAGAAGCAGAGTTAACAACTCTTGATAACATTCTAACCTTTGAGCTTGTGAATTTGCAGGATAGGAACAGGACCCTGGAACTTCCTCGTGAATTTGTAGCAGCTTGTCTATTCTTTGAACTAATAGCGTTGCAAGCATATTAAGAACCTGCAACTTAATCAGTCACCACAGTCACATGCAAAACATTTTGATTCTACAAAAAATTTCCCTGCCTTCTTTGGTTGGTTGTTTCAGGTTAAATGGCATGACGTGTAAGACCTTGTTATATTCCTTTCATCCTCTGTAAAGTAGATAGGATGAATTTTAATTTTTACTCAAGCGATGAAATAATATCAATTTTAAAAATATTCTGTACGCAAAGAAGATATGTAACCAAACAACCATCTGAGGATATCAGAAGACAAAGTACTTTGAAGATGGTAAACTGTCAGATTCGAAGTAGAAAAAAGTTCCATATTGAAGTTTCCCAGCTATATCTATATATATATATATATATATAGACGAATGTTGGCTAAAAAAGAGGAAGAAAAGATCAAGGAATAGCCATTACGCAATAGCATTTTCAAGTTTCTAAATTTCAAGCTGTTTAGGAGGTAAGGCAAGCAGCCAAATTGAGAGTGATAGTAGGAGCTAGCATGTTGCATGAATTTCTTTCTTGTTAAACCACTGTGGCTTTTATGTTTGAACGACTGGTCATGAATGTGTTGATAACTTGAAAGGCAACAGAACAATTGACGGTCAGTAACGACCCATTTAAAGCACGGTATCCGTTATCTTCCTCTTTTACCCGCCAGAAGTAAACCACCTCAGCCTGTTATGATAATGGACGCTCTCTCTTTAAAAACTCAAAGTGAAGACCTCTCTCTTGTACCCGAACAAACCAACATCAACCTCTCTTGTACCCGAAACTGGAATGCAATCATGAAAAGCCATGCCTCTCTCTTGTACCCGAACAAACCAACATCAAAACAGACCGTAAAAGGAACTGGAATGCAATCATGAAAAGCCATGCCAAGCTCAAAAATGACTATGCCATTCTTTCTAAGTATACCCAAATGGAATCTCTTGGCGTTTTCACAAGATAAAACCACCCTGCCTCTCATTTTCAAGGCTTGCACGCACGAGGCTGAATGCTGTTGAGAGAGGCAAAAAGATACGTTCTGGTATTGAGGGTGCTAAATTGAGAGAAGATGTTCGAGTTGGGACAGCTCTTGTTGATTTTTGTTGTAAATCTGGGTTACTTGAAGAAGCTAACTGATTGTTTGATAAAATGACTCACTGAGTTTTGGTTTTGTGGAGTGCAATGATTTCTGGGTTTGAACTAAATTCACGTACTTTGGTTGCACTGCTTCTGGCGTGTGAAGGGGTGTTGGAATTGAGGTTAGTAAAGGAGGTACGTGGGTATTGTTTGAGGAATGGATATTTTGATATGCATCCTCGCTTGGGTACTGCTTTGGTTGGATTCTATTTGAATCTTGAAGTGAGAGTTTCGAGTCTTGTGTTTGATTTGATGGTTATGATAAGCGAAATGAGTTGGAATGCAATGATCACCGGATATTTTGCTTCAGGGGATTTGGTGAAAGCTTTGGAGCTTATTGTTCGGATGCTCGAGGACGGGGCTAAGATTGATTTGGTTACAGTAATGGTTGTGATTCAGCATATGCAGAATTTGGATATCTCGGATGCAAATACATCAAATGGCTATCGAGTTTAGCTATGATAATGATTTGTTCATAGTAAATGCATTGCTTTAACATGTATGATGAGGTTGGGAGTTCAGTATTAGCACGCAAGTTATTTGATATCACCACAGTTCGCGATGCCGTCTTGTGGAATTCTATGATTTGTGCATATATTGAACCTGGATTCTATGAAGCTATTGATGTTTTTAAAAGAATGCAAGAAGAAATAAGCCTGGATGAAAGAACCATCGTTGCTTTGCTGTCTTTGTGTCGAGAGTTAGATGATGGCCTGAAAAGGGGTGAAAGCTTGCATGCTCACTCGTTCAAGAGTGAAATGAGAATGGATGTTTCCGTTGAAAATGCCATTTTGAGCATGTACACAGATCTGAATAGTGTTGAAGCTGCACAGAAGGTTTTCGGTGAGATGAGTACTGATGTAGATGTCATCTCATATAACACTTTGATCTTGGCACTGGCCCGTGACAACTCGAGGGGAGAGGCTAATTATTTCAAATCATGCGAGCAGCTCAAGTCAAACCGAACTCCCATGCAAAGATATCTCTTCTAGCTATTGGTGGAGATGAAACGTCTATAAATATGACGATCCATTCATGGTTTTGCGATAAAGCATGGATTTGAGATAAATCTATCCTTGGACACCCACTCGCTGATATGAACAGGAATTTTGGTGGTGAGTTGAAAGCTAGAAGTTTTTTTGAGGCCTGTCTCCCTAGAGATTTGATCTCGTGGAATGCTATGGTTGCCAGTTACGTAAAATCAACCGAACCATTGAAGCTTTGTCCTTTTTTCAACCGTTTGGGTTCGGAGGTAGAACCTATCTTGATCATAATCATAAATGTTATCTCAACATGTACCGACCTCACCAATCTGCCTTAAGGCCAATGATTGCATGGCTATACAATACGGTGGTTTTGTCCTTCTGGTTCGAACTTGTCTCTTGCAAATGCAATAATAACAATGCACACAAGATGTGGTAGCATGCTAACTGCTTAAAGATCTTGAAAAGCTTACCAAAGAGAAAACATCATCTCTTGGAATGCCATAATAACTAGCTATGGAACACATGGTCGTGGTTAAGATGCCATAAACCTGGGGCATTTGGAAAGAGATCAAGAATCAATCCAGGAAGTCACAAGTATTAAGTCACAACTTAAGTGCGTATACTCTTGCAGGGACATCAGAGGTACACGAACAGTTTCTGTTGTACATATATCTTAACATTCTTTATGATTTATTCATTTCGTGCATTATTTTTTAGCAATCTTCTGTGACCTTTTTACTTTGAGTGCTTTACTGATTGATGCCAAATTAATCACATGTCATGGATATGGAAAATTGCTTTCTGGTAGTTTACCCATTATTGGAATCTATCCACTAGTTCATCTCCCAGGTTAAAAATCGGGATTAAAGGATCAAGTTTTAATGCGTGAAGCTTGTGCTTATCCCTTAATGATCTGCGAAACACAAACACATCATTGCCCTCCGAGCCATGTCTATAGAATATCAGGGGTTGATGATTTGCCTAACCCTTACACAAATAACAAGCATCTTGCAAGAAAGATGTATGATTTTCTTTCATTTAGTTTTAGCTTTAAATTGCACCCAGCAAATACAGAGGGGAGCGTAAACATAAACAGTGATATGCTTCACTGCTCTTTCGATCATCTAATCAACGTTTTCTTCTTCATATTTGCTTGGAATTCTCCACACGTTTTCCTTCTCATTGGACAATTGCAAGCTTGCTTGTTTCTGATCTCGTACGTTAACTTCTATACATAGAAAGAACATGCAAGCTTCTCATTTCTTCTCAAAGTCCCTCTTCTTCAAGTACAATGATAACATTATCATGAAGATGAAGCATACACTCATGTGTCATGATCTAATCAGTGCATTAAATTTGTCATCCAGTCAGATTTTTGAAATGATTATTAGTTTCTGTAGAAGTTTGATTTGGATTTTCTGCTGTTAAGAAAACTTTTTCTTGTGATTGACATCATGATAACTATATTCGTATAATTTGATTGAAATGGCATCGGTCGGTTTGGCATTAAGCTTTCATAGAACGTAAAGCTTTGATTAGGCAATTTTTTTTATGAAAACCTCGTCCAACATGTAATAATTTGTGGCTGTTGTATTTTGACAAGTAACTAACGTACCATAGTATAGTTTCATATTCTATAATGTTTTTAGTGATAAAACTATAACAGCTTATGTAATGGTGAACCTCTTTTAGTCATTAGTTCTTTCCAAATGCAAACTCGAAGGGATTGGGACGATGGTGAAGGAGTTACGTTTCCTTCCTTGTATGTGTGTCGATTTGATGAGGTGTTTTTTAATTAAAAATATATTAAAAAATTATTTTTTTTTAAAATATGTTTACACTTCACTTTCCTTGTGTTTGAGTTTTTAAAACTTGAGAGAGGAGAGAGAAAGAGAGAGAGAGTTATTGAAAAGAGAGGAGATAGAAAAAAAAATTGATTACCCACATTCTATCTATAAAATAAAAGTCAATCTTGATATTGATATTAATGTATTCCTTTTATATAAAAAAAATCTTATAAAGATGATTTGTGTCTTTAATGATGCTGAAAATAAGTATATAAGTATATTAAAATCCAAGAAATTTGTTTTGATTTAATTTTCAGCTTTTAGACTAATTTGAGCATACTATAAAGTTGAAAATGAGATTATTGAAATTTTTATGATGTTTTTTTAAATATTTTTTAAACTAATTTGAGAGTTACGAGGTTGAATGTAAGAATTTAGATTCACTTGAGCTTTTTGGATAGGCTAGGTGTGTTGGCCTGGAGTTTGGGGTGCTTAGTTTTTTCTTACAAAGTTTAGGCGTACCTAAACTTGAATTTTTTGGTCATTCTTTTATTTAGTTGTTTTATTTATTTATATTTTAAAATAAAATCTTTGAATAAAATTATTAACATGGTATCTAAAAAAGCATCCAATTATACCATATTTTTCAAGTAAAATTAAATATGTTTATGTAATATTAACAGTTACTTTATGAATTATTACATAATAATAATATGAAAAAAAAACTATCAAGAATATTAAATAAGAATAAAATATTTATTTTTTTAATTTTTATATAAAGTTATCAAATTAATTATTATTTTATTTTTTTTCATTGAAAATCATTAAAACATGGTTTTTTTAATTGAAACTTGCTTTTCAAATCATTTTAAGTTTTTATTTTAAAAACAATGTTTTTTTTTATGTTCTTATCAAAACAAAAAATAAATATATGAATAAAGAAAGGGAGTTGTGATTAAATTTTTCTCTTTCCTTAATCTAAATATTTGAATTCTTATTACTATTTATTTTAATTGTATTAAGTTTTTATTCAGGAAACCATGTTGCTGATATATATATATATAAAAGACATGCTTGTGTGCAAATAAAAGTAAATACAATAACAAAAAAGGGAAGTTTTAGAGAGAGAAAAATACAATTTTTCTTTAAAAATCAAGTTGTTAAATTTTTTATGAATATTTATTTTAATTACTGTAAAATTAAATAAAAATAGATTTTTAAAAGTGCCCCTCCACATCGCGTGAGGGGCCCTCTTTTAATACACATCAAGATCATGGATGAATTGCATCTTTGAAGATGCCTTACTTTTCCTTG